TAAAGCGACTGGGACTTTTCAGTTTAGAAAAGAGGAGACTGAGGGGGGATATGATAGAGGTCTATAAAATCATGAGTGGTGTGGAGAGGGTCAATAAAGAAAAGTTATTTATTAATTCCCATAATAGAAGACCTAGAGGACACCAAATGAAATTAATGGGTAGTAGGTTTAAAACTAATAAAAGAAAGTTCTTCTTCACACAGCGTGTAGTCAACCTGTGGAACTCCTTGCCAGAGGAGGCTGTGAAGGCTAGGACTATAACAGAGTTTAAAGAGAAGCTAGATAATTTAATGGAGGTTAGATCCATAAAAGGCTATTAGCCAGGGGATAGAAATGGTGCCCCTGGCCTCTGTTTGTCAGAGGCTGGAGAAGGATGGCAGGAGACAAATCGCTTGATCATTGTCTTCGGTACACCTTCTCTGGGGCACCTGATGCTGGCCACTGTCGGCAGACAGGCTACTGGGCTAGATGGACCTTTGGTATGACCCAGTACTGCTGTTCTTATGTTCTTATGTTCTCCCTTACTTTTTTATATAATTTAACAAATTTATATATGGACTAATTTACTTGTGGATGGATAGCCTTGATGCTTTATAGATATTCATCATGTATAATATGGATAAAGGAAGGAGTCAAACCTCTAAAAATAACTGTACCCGATGGCCATCTTTCTCTATTTCTTGGCAAAGAACCACATTGGTTTAGTTCACACCAGACTACAGTCACTTTATTTACATGTTATTTCACTGTGGATGCCATCTGACAGTTTCGTCTGAAAGGAATAATCAGCCTGAACACTGCAAGATTTTTAAAAAAATCCACACAGCCCAATTCCCAAAGAATCAACTTCTTCCTTTTTCCTATATACGCTGTACAGTTGATGAATTTTAATGGTCTCATAACTGAGTGATTGACAGTACTATCTAGAGCAGTGGTGGTGCAATCCCTCAGGATACTCCGCCGTCGGACTGTGAGACATTCTGTTTATGTTGACCATCCACAGGCACAGTCACTTCCCCACGATCAGCAGCTGTGGTTCACTATTCCAGGAAGTGGCGGCCAGTTTGTCTCTGCGATCCACACTACTTCCAGCAGCTCCTATTGGCCATATCAGCAAAATGTCTTGTGGCCTGCCACTGGATTACCCTGGTGGGCCACAGGTTGCCCACCACTGGGCTGGGGTCAAGCATAATGCCATACAGATTGTGTGCTACTACTCCTTCTCCCCCACCTTTACCAGTGTGTTTTAACTCTCATCCCTACAGGATTTCTGTAATTTCAGTTTTACTGTCTTGACCTTGGTTCTTCCAGTGCACCTAAATTCTTGTACACTGAATCGTTTCCTATTGGAGTCCCTATGTCCTTGCACTGCTCTGCTTGTTACATAATATTTACAGGCATTTTTTGCTGTTCCAGTACTAGCACCTTCCACATATTTCTGCCAATGCCCTTCAGTGCTGACCTACAGCACCTCTTTGCTATTCCAATTTTGCATCCCCTGTGCACTTGTATCAAATTACCACCAGTATCCTCTGCCATTGCAGTCCTGAGTAAAGATTATCAATTATACCAAGCCATGCAAAATGGGATGGAGATTGTCAGAGGAGAAATGTTCACTAGTACATAAATTAGATTACCACGAAACTCCAAAGTCCATTTCATTTGAGACTGACATGAAAGACCCATCATTTTGCTCCTGCAAGCATCTCCTCCTCTCTTATCACTAGAACTGGAAGGGACCTTGAGAGGTCATCAAGTCCAGCCCCCTGCCCTCACGGCAGGACCCAGTACCATCTATTCTAGACTATCCCTGATAGATGTCTATATAACCTGCTCTTAAATATCTCCAGAGATGGAGATTCTAAAACCTCCCTAGGCAATTTATTCCAGTGTTTAACCACCCTTGCTGCAATTTAACCTCTTAAGCCCTTCATTGCTACATTCTGCAATGTAATCTTTTCAGATCGTTTGCTAATGCAAAGCCCCACCTGTAGAGCTGACTAAAGTATCAGCACAGGTAAATCTGCAGTTTAAACCTGAGATACTTACGTTGAACTTTGACCGAATCAGGAAGCTCTGGTATGGGCTCAGAGGTAGACATTGTTGGTGAACAGTCCTTGGTAGTGGTCGTCTTCGGGAATAGCATTGTATAGGAGGTTCGGTGCCTAGTCCTACGTGCTATCTCACGTTCATTACGTAGCAGTTGATCATCTGTTAACAAGGCACTGACTTGCTTAGATTTTTCTCTCACGTAATAACCTGTTGAAGCAATTAGGTTGAGTTTAAATAAAATAAATATTCAATAAATGTGTTAGAAAGTCACCCTCCCATTTTGTAATGAGGGCCAACAGGATATACCATGGGCCCCAGCCACTACAGAAAAGTGCAAAGTGGCTAAGGATGCTTGCTGTCTATAATAATAGAACAATGAGCCAAGAAACCAAGATCCCAGGAAGCAGTTGCCTTTTGTAGACTTACTTTGTAAGCAGCTGACAAACGGTTAAAATACTGCATGGGGTAGTTCATAAATGGAAATGTGTTTTGGGGGTGTTTCTGAGGCCCCCCCCCTTTATTTCTTCCAAGGACCAGCTTTGTAGCGGCCCACTATTTTGGCTGAATGCTATTAGCGGGATGCTATTCCATTGGTCAGAGAAGCATTTCACATAGAATTCCTCCTTGCTTCTTTTGGGACAGGGTGAGCATAGGGTATTGTCTCTGTCAGGCCTTACCAGTCCATGAGCTCTGGTCCTGCATGGCAGTGAAAAAGTATGTCAGGTTTTTCCATTACAATTTGGCTATGGTTGTGTGGTATGAGTGTCAGTGTGAGTTATAGGGAGAAAGGAAAGAGGCTGAAGTGTTTTTATATCTTCAGCCTCTGGAAAAGATTGTCAAGACCAAAAAAGCTAGGGTTCAAGGAAGATGTCAAGGATCAAAGATCTGTCTCAGAAGAGACATGAGTTGTTTAGTATGTGTGGGAAGAACATCCCCAAACTACCAGTTGAAATGTAGTCTGTTCAATAAAACTGGTGACTCTGCTTAGGAGATTCACAGGTCTGAATTCATTGAGGGGTGGGACAGTAATGAAATGGAAAGATCCATCAAATGCGCTGTTTGAAATAGTTATCAAGAAAATACGCATGGAGCCAGAATTATATTATAACTATGCTAAAAGCTGTATGTCATCATGATTCTTATACTGGCAGGACCCTGGGAGGTAGAAGGACAAGGCAGTGCTGCTCCTTAATTGGGAACCTTCACCCCTGACTGAATCCCTCTGATGGTAAGTGGCAAGCACTGGTGGACATCTGTACTTCATATCTTCTGTGTTTCCAGATCTATCTTACTGGGATGCACAATTATAAGAATTCAGTGTTAAGATATTGTACTAGTGTATATTATTCTCCCTCCCCGCCCCCATAAGTGTTTCAAACATTGAATTTGATAGCTCCTCTAATCTCAAGGCTGTACCACCCACCAAGTAAAATCTGTCCTGGGATTCTGCTATGCAGTGACCAACTTTATTTAATGTATTGCATTAGCATCTGATAGTTTTAGGATGTTGTTTTTATAAACTGGGGAGTCCAGGCCCTGCAAACTGACACCGCATAAGGCGAACAGCGGCTTTCCACTGAGGTGGTTCTGCTACTTAACCTGCATTCCACCACATATTTAAACAGTGGTGAGATTGAGACAGCTGTGAGAGGGTCACTGCAAGGGACAAGGGTCAAGGGACAGTTCTAGTTTTCAGAGATCCGAGTCCCATGATCCTCCACATCTTGCAGGATGATTAAGTGGTCTTGAATTTATTTAATCTCATTCTCATATCAATATGAAATGAAGCAACATCATTATGCACTGCTGCAGCATCATTACATGAAAACTGAGCTATAGCAGTGCCATCATTTAGAACCATGGTGTGATTATTTTGTCCCGCAGGTCAGACACAAATAGTTGGCATTTCAAAGCCAGTAGGAGTTGTATTAAGCTTTTATCAGCTGGAATTCAGTTTTACATATCACATGGGAACATGAATTGCCCAATGTGACAGGCCCATCACTGCCAATAATATATCTAATTTACTTTGGCAAGGTGGATGCATCATCAAGTCTCAGAGCCAACAGGCCAGTAGCTTCATCTACCAGCTCATGCCGCTCTCAGCAGTGCTGCATTCTTACTAATAATTTAATCTTGTCTTTGAAGTTCAGCTCCTAGCAGTTTGCCTCCTTTTTCTCTTTTTCTTTCACTTCTGTTTAAAATTATAATGGTCCATTTCAACGAAATTAACTGTAATTTCATGGATCGGCACATCAGGAATAAGTTTTATACATAATACTATAATCCATGTATTTGTTCCCCCAAAAGTAAATTGACTTGATGAACAATTCTGCCTCCTGTGTAAATAACCCTGATTCTAATTAAGAGCTGTGTTATTTTGGGGGAAGAGGCTGTTTAGTGAGCATGACAATTTTTAACAGAAATGTTTACCACGTATAACATGAGGGTAATTATACATCTTAGCTTTTACAGAGAGCTTTTCATTAGTAGATCTCACAGTACATTCCAAAGAAGGGTAAATATCATCATCCCCTTTTCACAGATGGGGAAGCTGATGTTCTAGGAAATTAAGTAACTTGCCCAAGGTTACCCAGTGGGACTGTAACTGAAACAGATCTGCTGAGTTTCAGTCCACTGTGCTATCCACTAAATCATAGTGCCTCCCATAATTAATTTCATTTATTTTTTACTAACCTTTCCAATGCTTTTATCAGTGTTTCATTCTTCACTGAAATATACTTTAATTGGTTTTATTTGTAATTGATTTATTCCTCATTAAAGTTTCCAGACTGATAAAACCTAACACAGGTAAATCTTCTATTTATCTGTGCAACAGATGCATCGTGAGCAGTGACAGGACAAGATTCCTACACTGCCTCACCAATATGTCATCAGTAATTCCCTGGAAGAATCACTTCTGTGGCTAGAAGATGGCCTGGCTTCTATTCTGTTGAGATTGCCAGCCAGAGGATCAGATCAATTAATATGAAATTGTGTGGTTCTTTCTGTAATATGGATACTTTTCTACTATGAATTAGACTGCAACTTCCAACTTATTTAAAAAAGGTCACTAAACATATATTGGATGGTAAGAACTCTTATTTGTTATAAACCTGGCCCAGACTGGAACTGAAGACGTAAGGTATGTCTACGTGTGGCACTATTTCAGGATACTTCCAGTATGCCAAAACAGCTATTCCGTATTTTTTAAACAAGCCCATTATTTCAAAATAGCCTTAAAAATAACGGGCTCACTCTTCCGACGTCCTTGTAAATCTTGTTCCACGAGGATTAAAGTACATTTCAGAATAGTACTCTATTTCAAAATTTGGCGCTGTGTACACAGAGCCAAATTTTGAAATAAGCTATTTTGAATTATACTTGAAATAAGATATGCAATTTGCATAGCTCAAATTGCGTAACTTATTTTGAGCTATGGGTGCAATGTAGACGCACCTCTAGAGATTATGATGGTAATATAGATAAAAAACTACTTATCCCAGTTCCCTATTCCATCAAGTGACTTTACTTTCATTATTTCTGAGATGGGCCAGTAAATGACGTTCCTATGGCAAACATGCCCAAAAGCAAACATCAAGCATTTACTTGAAAGCTGATAAATTTCATTGGCATACTGATCTAAATCTATTAGTCTAGCATGATCCTGAGCTAATGACAAATTTAATTATATTATTGCAAACATTATTTAGTGACTCAATAACACTTAAGAACAGCCATACTTGCTCAGACCAATGGTCCATCTAGCTCATTATCCTGTTTTCCAACAGTGATCAATTCAGTGGCTGGAAGTATGCTTCCTAGAGCAGGGAGAGCTCCTCTGCTCAAGTTCACATGCTAAAGATAGCTGTGAGGCCGTCGGACAACTGCCCAAGTAAATCCTGCATGACCCCAGAATGCATGCTCAGATGGCTTGCCTGAGTTTCTATAGCCACACTGCTATCTTCCACCCAGACTTGATTAGCTTCACTAACACAAGCAATTCTTCCTTATATATACTCCTACTTCTAAAACTTCTACTCCAATTCATCTGATGAAGTGGGTTTTACCCATGAAAGCTTGTCCTAATAAATCTGTTAGTCTCTAAGGTGTCACCGAACTCCGTGTTGTTTTAGCACAATAGTTTAAGCTGAACTAGCATGTGTATGTCTACTGACACTGGAAAGCATCCTTTCAACTGCCATTTAGACATCCCCTTCATGTCATAAGAGACATAGCACTGAGTAATCACATCAGGTACAACACTGTGGTATTAATATTCTTGTCTTCTGAGGTTTGTAGCCATATTGGTGCTACCTCACAGTCTTGTCCCCCTAAGTTTCCAATTTCCATATGCTGTCAAGAGACTTTCTATGTAAAGTACTATACCCTCTTATCTACAATCTAACCTGATTCAATATAAATGTTCCAGTCGGACATTAAAGTATCCTTTTGCTTATCCTCATCCTGCCATTTTTCAGAACTGGCAACTGCATGCAGAGCCAGCTCGAGCCATTCCTGTGCCCCGGGCGATGGGCGCACGATGCGCGCGTGGCTCTGCCCCCAGGTGCTCGGCGCATGCGTGGCCCCACCCCCTGGCACACTGCGCACCTTACAGCTGGAATCAGGCACACAGTGCCTGATGGCAGCTCTTTGGGGGCCCCACGGGGCCCCCAGCCCCAGGCACGCGGCGCCTGATGGCAGCTCTAAGGGGCGCCTCACGGGATGGGAGCCATTTTTATGTATCTCTTTCTTTCTGTTATCACGTAAATTCCTCCTCCTTATCTCTTTCCTGACTTTTCCTTTAGTGCCATAATTACTTGCTATTTTTCCTTCAGCAATTAGTTTAAATAATCTCTCCGAAAACCTTCTTAATTTTAATTGACAGACCTTGTCAAGCTACATTTACCTTGATCCTTTCCAGCCTCATCTATATAATGAAAGTCCTTTAATGCCTGAATGTTAAAGAACCCCTCTCGACAATGCTGTATGACTTTCTTTGATCCATTCTTGATGAGATAATCCAAGACTGTGAGGGATTTGTACACGTGCCTCCACTTCTTTCCCTGATCATTCATCCTGTGCCATATCATGTTCATAATCTCCGAAAGAGAAGCTGTGTTGTATGTCAGGTCACTGATCTCTAACATTAGTGAACTAGAGGGACCCCAGGGGTCATTAGAGGTTGCTTCCCTGACTTTGACCTCAGAATCAGAATAATTTTTCACAAAGTTCTTCATGTGCCTCCTGAGTGCCATGGAGATGATAGATTGTTGTTCAGCTGATAAAGCTGGTAAGAGATGTCTGTGCTGCTATCCCTGCCTATGTGTTTTTAGTCTCCATCTCGGCAAACCACAATGATTCTGCAAACAGAACAATACAAGGAACATGTGTAACTTGTTAGCCATTCAAAATTTTGGAGAAAGGGGGAAAGGCCAATATAATTCTCAGTTTCTTATCACTAATGGGACAACCAACATTGCAATCACAGGGCATTACCTCCTAAGGCATTACCTTCTGGCCCTATCTAGCTGAAAAAGGAGACCAAACCTACCTGAAGTACCTAGCCAGAATTAGGGCAGCTATGATTAATGACCACAAGGGAGAGAATATAGTGAGGGGGGATACTGAGGTTCTCCTTAGGGAATATCATAGTAGATCAACAAACTGGAAGGAAAATGAACTCTACTGTACTAAAGGCCTTGTCATTAATTTGCTGACTTTGGGCAAGTCACTTAATCTCTCTGTACTTCAGTTTACTCATCTGTACAAGAGTTAAATGTAGTTATTGGTGATCATTATTTATTATCAGGTGTTTGTCAAAGATAGTAAAGCCACTGGAGGTGGAAGAATGGATAGAATATTTCATTTTCCAGGGAGCTTAAAATAAGTTTATATCATAACTTCCATTTGTTACACTAGGGCTCCAGGTTACTTGTATGGTGTCCCTGAAGTTAGTACTTTACACACATACAAGAGACCCATGTTCAAATGCCAGATTCAGACTTGGGCATGCAGAAGCTAACTTATACTGCTGGATCAGTGTAGGCATGCAGGGAGGGAAAAAGAAAGAGTCTAATGCAACTCTGCAGTGACTATTCTTTCTTCTGCTCCTCTAAATAGGAGAGGGAGAGTAGAGGAAGGAAAAACAGGGTTCCATTTGCCTGAGGACTGCTCTGCTAAACTAAATAGAGTTTCTGTACACTGATCATCTTGGATCCCTCAGCTTTCACAGCTGGCAAATGCAACGGGGGGTGCATTTTATTAGAGGTAGTGATAGCATGAAAAGGTAACACAGCCTCCAAACAATTTAAACAATGCCTGTAAATTGTCAATTCACAGCTTTATGAGATGAACTCATCCCCACTCCTCCTTTTCATTAATTAGCATGGGGGTGGGTAGGTCTCTATGCAGTCCCCGACTGAGTCACCAGCAACGGCTGTCATGATCATGTATCAAATTGATTTCAAGCCCTGACAAGTGCCCAGCCTCAATGAGGGAGACAATCTGTAATCGGGATTTATGCACATAAGGCAAAATACGTAACAAATATGTTTGTTTTCCATTTATTCCCTCCCCTCCCATCCACCAACAACCTTGTCCACTACAACAATTATCTATTTGATTGATTCATTTAATGTTGGATTTTTTTAACACAAGGATAGGCATGAATTTGAAGCAAAACATCAAAATGTTACCTCTTCAATTTTTAAAATAAGGGAGATAATTAACCTTTTTTATCAAAGTAGGCACAGCTTCAAATAAGTTGGATGGAAAATATATTGGTTTAATTAAAATATTGTAGAGAGCGATAGCTGCAAATGCTGAGAACCTGGAGAGAGAATTTTTATGAAGAGGGTGCTGCATAGTTTACAGCTCCCTGTTTCTCTTTCTTGTTTGTGCTTCAAATGGAGTCAATTTTTATGTGTCTCACTCCTGCAGAGAAAAAGCTGATTTTATAATATGTTTCAATGAAACCATTACAAATTTCAGCCATAAGATTTCTCTTTTGCCTTGTGTCTTTGTTTTGGTGCACAGTTGCACTGTGACAGTGGTTATATAGTAGCACACATTGATCTGTTTTTTACAAACATTGATTAGATAACTCTATTGGAATCATAACCTCTGGAGTGGAACACTTAGCACCAGTGCTTTTGTCCTCCTGCCCTGGGTCCCCACTCATCTTGATTTTCCTGGGACTGGTGTGGTGTTCTGTGACCTCCAAGCAAGGCATGCAGATCACTGAATTTGTTGATGGTGAAAGGTTCAAGAGTGACAGCTTGAAGTCTTCGATTCACAGAACAGGAACAGCATGGGCAGCATCATTACAAACCTATTGCTTACATTAAATGTCCAGAAATATATCAGGGATGCAAAAATCAACAAAACGCTGGGTCATAGGATCATAATCCAATCTTTGGGAGCTATATTACATAGGACTCCTAGATCTACATAATAAATATTTTGTATAACAAAACATAGAATTATTTATTCAGTCATCTCTTAAAGAATAGTGTACCTGATTAAATTTATGCAATAATTATTTATTCATAATTAAATCCAGATCATTAACATCAAATATCTTCCCAAAATCTTTTCAAAAAATTGAAAACTTGATATGCACAATTTCATTTAAATAACATTAAAGCTAAACTAATACAGCCAGGAAATTAATAGTTAAGGACCGCCAAACCGTCTTTTGTTGTTGTTTGCCAGTTTATGTCATAAGCATAATGTCATGTAAATGAAACTGTGTCTCATATTTAGTCTTTTGTGCTACTAATCAAGAAATCAATATTTGGTTCTTGTATCCTGTCTCTCATTCGCTGAGCCAGCCGTGTCTGTGGTGAGTGTGTCTGTGCGACCATGTGAAAGGCAGATTCATTTTGCCCAGATCTGCCCGATTGCTCCCAAACTCAGGAATGGCTGAGAGTCCTAAGAGAACTACGCTTTTACTCCTATTGGCATCTGAGAGGGTAGGCTGAGTGTGGCTCTGCAATAATCCATTTGGCTAAGCTACAAGCAGTGCTAATGCGCCCTGAAAAGGGACGCCCATAGACTTGAAGCGTAAGTGTGACAAGTAACTGCATGAAATTTGGGAATACCTCAGGAACTTCATTATTTATTATTTTATTTCAGTTTCAGCAAATGATAATGTTTTTGTCTCGTGGTCTATAAATAATGTAAAAGTTTTAAATCCTGCTTTCAAGCTATCACGCTAACCTCTCACTAGCAGGGACAAACATCTCCTTTTGTCAGACTATTCCGTAAGTGCCTGCTATAAGGTTTCTTTCATCTTCCTCTGGCACTGAAACAGCTGGTGCAAGGTGCTGCCAGAGACAAGGTACAGGGCCAGATTAACCATGGGTCTGATGATTCACTATGGTAGTTCTTACACAGGTTCCATTGCTGCCTGTAAGAATGATGGTTTCCAGACATGTCAGAAGGTGTCTTTCATGGAAGTTAAGCCAGAATTTGCTTTGGGGCCATTAAACCTGCCATTTAAGAGAACCCATGATTGATAGGATAGTCCCCACTGGCAGACAGGTGGCTGCTCAGCTGGAGTTGTGCCTGGCTTCGTGTGGTAGGAGAGTTGTGGGACAGAAAGGGAGGGATTGAAGTAGACTGCCCACTCCAGAAACAGCCCAGTGGGGAGGGGTCTTTCCAATCCTAAATACAGCCCCATTCCCTGGGGAACATAAAGCTGGACTGGACCTGCCTGTTCTCTGTGGTCGGTGGCTGCTCCCAGCAATGTGGTAGTGAAAGCAGGTGACATCCAGGAGAGAGAACAAGGGGACTCCTGAAGAGGGGATGCCCCTGATTGATTGCCCTCAGCACACACAAATGCAGGTAGAAACAGAGCAGGCGGGTACGTCACGCTCTCCGGCTCCATGGACACCCCGGCAGGGGCAGGACGAGCATTCAACAGGCAGAGGCCCCGCCCCACTCTCACTACCCATAGGGTTAGCTGGCTGTGAGCAGCGGGGTTCGTGTGCACACCCAGGCTCAGGCAGAGGGTCACGCTGCTGAGCTCTCACCACCCCCGCCCCTTCGTTACCTGAGGGAAACTGAGCATCAGTGACTGTTAGGCATCGTTTTCCCACTTAAAATTCAAACTGTCACCAATCAGCTGCAGAGGCCCGCCTCTCCCTGTCGTCCTCCAATCAGAATGCTTGTACCCACTGTTCTCCCATCATCTTGAATTCAAAGTGGCTGTCACTCACCTTCCAAGCCCCACCCATTCTTCATATCCAATCAGAATTCTAGCTTTTCCTCTGCCTTACCAGTCCTCGGAGCCCTAGGGTGAGAAGTATTTGACTGACAGGCCCTCAACCTTTGCTAGGTTTCACCCCTTAATTGCAACAATTAATAGAGTTTTCAGTCATGAAGAGAAAAGCTTCTCCCCTCCATTTTATGGTTTTGGTTTTATTTTTACAATTTTTATACTTTTTAAATCCATACACATTTCACAGCCTAAACAAAGGTGAAATTCAAAGGTGTGAAGAGTCTATAGCAGCCAGTCTTAAGCAGTCATTCCTACTGCATCCCATCCTCCAGATCTCATTCCCCTCAAGCAGGCCACCGAGTTAATATAATAACTGTCCCCCAGTACCTGAACTAATGCATCAATAAATGAATTAACACATTTCCCACCTAGACTGCCACTTACGGGAAATGAGTGCTTTGCACCCCTTTGCATACAGCTAAAATACATACTCTAAGTCACACTCATTTCACAGATCGTTAAAATCCCTTGGTCTATAGCGCTGCTTCTTCACCCCCTCTCAGCTCCCTCCCTGTTGTGTGTTCCTCCACCTCAGAGCTGCCTGTGAGTTCTCTCTCTCTAACAGTGATAGAAATGTAGCCGTGTTAGTCTGGTCTAGCGGAAACAAAAAACAGGACTATGTAGCACTTTAAAGACTAACAAGATGGTTTATTAGGTAATGAGCTTTCATGGGCCAGAGGAAGTGGGTCTGGCCCACGAAAGTCAAAGGAAGGAGTTTGGGAGACACCCCTCACAAATTAGAATGCTGGTGACACATGGCTATCATATTGCCACGTTGTTAACTTCAATGATACGAGATCAGTCTAAATTTTAATAACCCCACATGATTCAAGGAGGAGACTCAGGACCTGTCAATCTTAAATTCAAACCCAAATAAATAAACAAGTCTTAGGATGCATGAGAGAACACATTAAATGCAACCAGAGCACAGAAATGCAGTAGCATTCGCTAAAACTCCCATGATAAAGGGTTAGCACTGGCAGTGAAAAAACAAAACCACACTAAGCTAACTAAACTCCACACCCAGGGCTGTGAGCTGTCGTGTCTGCTAGTTCCTGCGGGGTTTGTGGTTTGCACATGACTGCTTGATTGGCTGTACTTCATGGTGGAGAGAGGAGGATGCAGGGGGTGAAAGGTTTGTGTGGTCCTGAATGGCTCCACAAGTATCAACCCTTGGTAAGCGCTTAATCTGAAGACAAGAACAGGCTGGTTGTATTGTTATGAAATGCGGACTCTTCAATATCATTTTATTTCGTCTTAGATTCTGCAAGTGTGGAATATAACAACCAGAAGCAGAGCACAGCCACTTTTTCAGCCTTCTCTACTCTCAAAGGTAAGTGACACTGACAACATTTGCTTTCAGTTTTTTAACAATAGATGGTGCCAGTCCAAGCCAGTCTGGGGCTGCCTGCAAACTTATACAAATGATGCTCCAGCAGGAAGGCCCAAAACTCTATTTGCACTGCTGCCATACTTGAATCAAACTTCTTCCCCTGCCAGTTTGGGGAAAGATAGAAATGTGTCCAGCACTGGTGCATGTATTTGTGTAGAGCGTTGTAAAATACGGGCAGTAGATTTCCTTTAATCAGAAGAAGGGGTGGGTGAAAAACTATTCTCCAGTCAGGGCTCTGATAAGAGAGACAACATCCAACTTCCACAGGGGCTTAAAGTTATCTTGCTAGAGTTCTGTCAGCACAAAACTATAACGCTGTACAAAACACTACACTGGAGCGTCCCAGCTGGGATATGGCTGCCCATGAACTTGATGCTCCCTTGCATCCAGATTCTTGACACTATTGTCTGAACTGCTTCCACCCACAAATGGAACATTCATCCTTTTTAGTATCCTATGCGATATGCGGGACGCTACTGCAGCTCCTACATCACAGAACCACCATCATTGACAACAAGGGCCATCTCAGCAAAAGAAGCCAAATCATGAATGGATCATCAGAATTCACCCCAACTTTTCGCTCTTGATTCATTAGTCAGTAACTGTGAATCATTTGAGAGATTCAGAGTGCTGTAAGTGCAACATGCTGTGTTTATTAAGAGACACTGTCCCTTCAGGGCAGGATTGAGGCACCCAGTGATGTTAGTGTCTAAGGAGAAATTTCATATTGCTTTGCCTGTGTGTGGTGTTCATTCTGGGAACTGCTGCAGGACTTCTATCTCCAAACTTTAATCCAGTATCTCTCATCAGAAGGAAAATCAATTAGCAAAAATTCTAAACTGTTTTTCAGCACCAAAGGTGACAATAATTTTGTTATTTACATTTGTCTGAAAAGAAAATTTCCCTACTGGCCAGGCTGCTGGTAAATGAATAGTGTAGGATACAAATGAAATGGAGCAGGGGTGAAGCATGGGGAAGCACATTTCTTATTACTGAAATATAGGCCCAGAAAGCGAAGCAAAGCTCATCTCTGACCCTCTAAAGCAGACCATAAGTTTTCATTGACACTGACTTCAATTTGCATTTCTACCTTTCTTCAATTCAGCCTTGAGAATCACACTGGGTAAGGGATTTTAGGGCGCACAACAGAACAAGTCTCTTTTGCCATAGTTCTAGCCACTCTGTATTAATAGAGATACAAGATGGGTGAGGAAACTTTCATTGGACCAACTTCTGTTGCTCTTCAGGTCTGTGTAAGTTTCAGAGCTTCTCTCACCAACACAAATTGGTTCAATAAAAGATATTATCTCGCCCACCTTGTCTCCCTCATATCCTGGCACCAACACAGCTACAACACTGCATACAACTATGTCACTGTCATTTGCATAAATAGCAGAATAGGAAGGATTTGGACCTGGATTTTAGATAAAATAAATTTTAGATTTAGAGGAACTATAGTCTATCTACCACCCCTCTACTCCATAAAATGCTTCTGTTTGAGGGACACTGCTGTGCAAAATAAAAATTGTCCTTCTACCAATTCAAAGGTTTGAATATCTCCCAGTGGCCAGGGCTTCAGCTGCTCCTCTCAGTTGTCTGTCTAATTGTTTTATCACTTCTCTTTATTCAGCCAGTAAGAATTCTTTTCCTCCACTCAGCTGCTGTGTCTTCTTTTGTTCCACTTTTATCTGGAAGCAGTGTCTTCTGACTCTAATGCTATCCATGCACAATGAAAATAATTCTCCATCCCTTCTTCCCATTTCTTTCCTGGATAATTCTCCTATCCTTGACTTTGCTCACTGGGTTAGATGCATGTGATTCACATCCAAACATTGATTTCTCCTATCTACTCTTATATTCCATCTCTGATGCACATAATCACTGGAAATAATCACTGGGAGTTAGCCACACTAGCCCAAACAATGCCAAATGTGTTGCCATTCACGTAGTATTATTAATTTTTCTTAATCCTTCCAGATATTTTGTAATTTTTTTTAACTGTGTTAAGACTACTGTCCTCCTCCTCTTTTTTCCTTCTCTCCAGGCTTTGGCTGTAGTTTTAAAAAACCCTAACTTGGCAGCCCACTTTCGTCTGATTAAAATGATGTGTAGAGTATAATCATCATCATTTGCCTGATTGGAGGACTGTGCATGGCTGCAGACACAGTCCAATCAATTTATATGCAGCCCCACAAATCCCTTGCTTTCTTTCAGAATCTTTAATTTTGCAGCACACTTCAGAGCTATAGAAAGGAGACTTCTTCGATCATCCAACTTAATTTTTCGTCAGTCCTAGTAAGTGTACATTTCCATTATCCCCCTTTCATCCTAGTGGAGGCTGTATTATAAGAACACTTTGTACTTATATGCTTTTTATCCTAAAATCTCCAAGTGTTTTTCAAAGGGTAAAAATTAATACCACCATTTGGCAAATGAGGAAACTGAGGTAGACAGCAGTGAAGTGGCTTGCCTAAGGACATGCAGCAAACCAGTAGCCAAGCTTGGAACAGAAGTCAGTGCCTTGACTCCTGATCTTGTTCTTTGACCACTAGACAATACTGCCTTATTTTACGTTTTATATCGGTACTTTCAAATAATGTTTTTACTGTATCAGACATATATACAAATATAGATAAAATTTGTGGTGACACTAACTAGATGGAAAATTACAAGGGCTGTAATCCTTCATAATTCAGATCATAAACTGATCTCCCATGATATAGCTAGAGGAACATTCCAGGGTTTGGCACCTTACTCAGATACTTCTGACTTGGTCACTGATGGAGATGGGTTCCTGGGCAAGCTGGATCAATGCCTGTTCTGGTACAGTTATTGTTGTGTTCTCATTCAAGCAGATGGGTACCTGGGAGGGGGATGCATATTTTGCTATGGCTCTAGCTACTTGTCTTTGAAGGAGAGCCTCTGTAAACACTTTCTAGAAAAATAATTCTGGAAGAATTTATATTTCTAAAAATAAATGAGAGATGATGTTTCTGAAAGAGTCTGAGTCTGGGGGCAGGGAGCAAACTTTATTAAATTATTCTGCAGAGTAGAGGCCCAGGCTGTGCGCCATTTAACTACCGTCTAATTAGAAGCAATGAACCTCTGAGGAACAGGTTTATTAAGAATGATCTAATGATGAAGGCATTGAGATTTTAGGTCAACTCTAAGAAATGTTCTAAGATGAGAGGAAATAACCAGAATGCCTAGGCACCAATTGAAAACTTTGTTTCGCGCTCATAAGGCTGTATAGAGATGTCTTCCCTACAACTTTCACCCCGGCATCTCAGGCCCCTTATAGCCCTGCTGTCAGCGTTGCCCTAACCTTACCTCCCGCAACTGTAAATATAAAAATCACACAAAAATGAGGGCAGAGGTGGGATGGTTAAAATTCCCAAAATTAGTGAAAAAATAAATTCTGCCATGCCTACTATTAGTCACTCGGGATGCCATTTTGTGCTGGATTCCCACTGTTTCCACACAGTTGAAGAGCTGTTTGTGTGTTTCCAGACTTATGGGGACATTTGGAGAGGTACCATGATGGTCACCAAAGTTTTAACTCTTTTAGGTACATTGTGAGTTCATCAGGTAGGGTTAATGCCTTGGCATAGGTGGCACATTTCTCACCAAGTCACTACTGGACCAAATGCCCAAACATGTTTCTTTCAAGTAAGGGATAGAACTGAAAGTCACCTTATCAAGTATTCCTAAACCCTGCACATAAGAATACAAGTGTTAATCCATCTTCCTGGACAGATTTCAATTTAAGTAATTGTATTTAGGGTATTTAACATTTTAGTGTTATATGGGCATTTATTACTCCTTCTCTTACACTGCTGTGCACTACTAAAGAGCCTCTGAGTTCCACACCAGAGAAGGGTGCTTTTCATTGATGGGTAAAATGATATGTGCACAAGTAGAAATAGCGATTCCCAGGCAGGTGTAACTGATGCTCTGTTAGTCACTTGCAGCCTCAGAAAAAGTGTTCTAGGGTGGAGGTACTGGTCTGGTATGCTTCTTGACTCATGCTCTCCATCTTGGTCAGATTACTCTTAACAGGAATAATCTTGCATAAGAGGTATCAGGAAAATACTGTTCCATGTAGGGCTATAACAGCACAAAGGCTTGTACTAATGTTGCCTGAGTTTGTAGCCGATCAGTGCCACTAAAATATGCAGGGCTTGAATTTAATCCATGATTTATTTAAAAAAAATGCTTTGGGGTTGGTCAGAAAGATGATTTTCTATTATTATTTTATTTATGATTATTGTGATGTCAGTCCTTTCAAATGCCTCTGCATTTTGATTTCCAATTGTTTCTTTAGTTTTGGGCAAAAGGAGATTTTTACAGGGGTATTTTCTGACTTGGTGTCAACAACAGCTGAGCCCATTTTCAAAAACAGCATTTTCAAAATTGGCCGCTGATTTGGGATGTCTCACTTTTTGGTGACCAACCTTAAACCACTTAGTCTGATTTTTCAGAAGTGCTGAGCACTTACAGCTCCCACTGACCATCTGGAATGGTGGTCCTCAGTACTTGGTAAAATTCAAGTTGTCTCAGGCACAGCAACTCAAATGTATGGCACCCAAAATCAGTGACCACTTCTGGAGATTTAGGATTTGATATATGCTACACAGATTATTACTTTCCTTTATAAAACTAATTTGAAATAGCTTCAGATTTCGAAAAATGCCTGCAAGATCATCACTTGTAGCAGCAGTGGGCAAATACTGGCCTGTGGTCTGGATCCCGTTCACCAAAGTTAGCCCCTGGTGGGCTGCAACTGCTGTATTCACCTGTGCCTCCACATGTATAGTAGTTGCCACTCCCAGTCAATGGGAACTACTGAAAGTGGTGCCCTGGTCCACACCACTTCCCGCAGCTCCCATTGGCTGGGAACGGCAATTCATGGCCAATTGAAGCTGCAAGCATCCTTGTCTGCAGAGGGATAGGTAAATATAACAGCAGCCCACCATAGGCTAACCCTGGCAAACTGTCGCCATTTTATTGCCCATCTCTGGCTTACAGCATGTTGTACATGTACATGATACTGAAAATGACTTTTGCACCTCTCCATATCTTGTGCCAGATAGATTAGGTGAGAGTGAAAGAAATGGTGTTAGAAAATAGGAGACTAGAGAGCCCTGTACAGTAACAGTAAGTTATTTTTTTCTGCTAGAATGCAGAAGTGCAACACAGTAGATGTATTTAGATGAATTTTTCTCTGACGAAATTCACTTTTGTGGTGGGAACCACTATTAGTTCTGTTTGACACTGTAGTACCACTAAATACCATTTTGAGGGTTGAAATGTCACTTAAATGGTCTATGGCTCTTATGCTCATTCACTGCAGAAGGATGAATTTCACCTTAGCAGTATTTCTAAGATTCACTGATAGTCTGTTTAGAGAACTACTTGTTTTCTGTGTTTAGCTGTGTTGGTGCCACACCATTAGAGAGACAGGGTAAGCAAAGTGGTATCTTTTATTGGACCAATTTCTGTTGGTAAAAAAGACAAGCTTTTAAGATTACATAGAGCTCCTCTTCAGAGAATCGCTGGCAACTTTCCTGCTGCAAGCCTGTACCACATTCACGATGCATTTTGAAAGGTAAAGTTTGTTTTCTGTGTTTAGCTGTGTTGGTGCCACACCATTAGAGAGACAGGGTAAGCAAAGTGGTATCTTTTATTGGACCAATTTCTGTTGGTAAAAAAGACAAGCTTTTAAGATTACATAGAGCTCCTCTTCAGAGAATCGCTGGCAACTTTCCTGCTGCAAGCCTGTACCACATTCACGATGCATTTTGAAAGGTAAAGTTTGCAGCTGC